ATGCAATTCCAAATGTGAGGGTCTGTAACAATTCCACATGGACTGACCACTTTAAAGAACCTGAATTAAAATGCAGTGACATATAAACAAAGCACATCTCCTCAGCGAGTAGTGCAAGAAGCTGAGGAACATCCATCTATCCACATCAGTCATCATGTGACACCCTCCCTTGTAAATCAGTTAAAGGGATGAAAGAGAGAAGGGATGGGAAGAATGCCAGAGAGCAGCAGAGGGGATGATAGAGAGAGAAATGGAAAAGGCAGGAGTGTGGGGCGACAGAGACAGAAAGAAGAGAGACAAAGGGGAAAAGGGAGGAGGTACAGAGAATGAGGAGGTGGCCATCGTATCCCTCCCTGTCTTTGATCAGTGGTCCATGGGGAACTGGGGCAGTGCAGATAGCTGGTCCACAGCTCCTGAGGAACGCAGCTTCACATTCCTCCTTGCTCTTTCCCCGCTCCTGCAAAATCACTTCTCGTCTTTCAGAGCAGAGCAGCTGTGAAAACACATCATGGCTTTTCCAAAAGCCAGAAAAGACCTGTCTAATGCACTGCAGTGCCATTGTCCTGCTGGTCCACATTCACTGAAGCAAGCTCTTTTTTCATTCTTACCTAATGTCGAATGTATTCTATTTCTGTTTAGATTGAAAATCATGAATTTCTCTTACAAAAAAAGAGAGGTCAGAGGTCACCTTCAACAACAGAGCAGCACCAAGATCCAGTGTGTTTGCTTTGGACCATTTTTTCAGACATTGTTGCAGACTCACTAGTCAAGACCGAAACCTGAACAGAAACCAGTCCACCAGTTGTGGGCCAAGGTAACTATCCAATAATGGGCAGTGCTGCAACTGCTAATAGTAGTCTGACTTTAAATTGAACGGACAAAACAATAAACTACTATTACCGGAATATAGATTAATGAGCAACACAAAATCATTAATACATCCTGCATTATTATGCACAATAACACTTTTTTCCGCCTAACTCAATAATGTGAGATTTGGAGTGACAGGTTCTTGCCAAAGACCTTGGCCTTGCTGTAGTATACCTACTCAACATTGAAAAAACACAATAACAGTCCTTAAAGTTGCAGTTTGTTAGAGTGTCTAAGGGATTTTATTTACCTCTACCAAAACAGTTTATGTTCTCACCTACATTTGTTTGTTGCTTAGCAGGATTACGCAAAAAATACTATGGATTATTATAAAACTTGGTGGAAGTATGTGGTATGGGTCAGGAGAGATCCCAAAAAATGTTGGTGTGGATCCCGTACAGGGGTTGATCCAGGAAAATAAATGTCATCTTCTTTACGTTGTAAGATGTGTATTTTTGACATTTCCCCGGGAATAATTCATATTGATGAAAGAAATCAGGTATATTGAGGGAAGTGGTATTTCATTAGTGTGTGGAATTTGGTGTAGATCGAAATAAAATCTTGTGGATTTAAATATGATTGCATAAGTGGACTATATTTATTTTCTT